AAAACGTTATTGTCGGCTAACAATTTTCGCGATAACGTCAGCATATAAAATTTCAACTTTTGTTTTAATCTTTTTTTTATTTTACTCTTTTTTTTTTTTTTTAAATTCTTCTTTTTCGTAGTCTTCCGATTCTATAACTGGAAGGAACTCTTTAACCAGTATCAGACGTGCAGGACGAAGTATCAGCGTTACTTTGATCGTTGTTGCTCTCCGTTGATGAACTATCGTTGCTCTTTATTCGTCGTTTCCGCAGCTTTGCGAATTGAAACTCCTCAACCGGCACTGTACATCAATAATTGAAGTCGTTATTAGTGTCGTTCGTGCAATTGTATTCGGGAAAGGAAACAATTGAATGTCCTAACGAGTGGGAAGTAAATCCAAGTAAATTACATCTATCGAAATCGAAATATAAGATGTCTGTATTTTTTTTCCTCTTTTGTACTATTTCTAAAATTCATTTTATTACAGTGATTCTTATGTTACAGCCATAATGTACTACTGTTCAACTTTCAACTATTCAGATTTTTTTAAATCATCTAAAATTTCTTCATTAATTCATTATTGCGTTTTAAAAAAAGATCTATGATATACTATGGCTATAACATGTACATTGTACGAAGTTAACAACGACCAGAAAAATCTTAATTTTTACTTTTCTACCAAAAGACAATGAGTAATGACTAATCGCTTAATATTTGTCATAGCATTGCGACGAATCGTTTGACAAAAAGATATATGTATTGTTTACGATATTTTTTCGTTTTACGATTATTTTTCACGTTTTTTCAAATTTACATAAACTTCATTAACTTTATATATTATACATATATATAATTCAATTCGGTATACAAGTCGCTACAAAACAAATGCGACATATGAAAAAACTTACTTATAAATGGTTTAATAATTAAGAATATATTATTGATCAACTGATCATCCTCTACTGTTCAATTTTGCATTACAATTTACTTAATTATCAAAAAGGATTAACATTGTTGAAAACTTTTACTTGAAAGAATATCCTGTATATAATTATTATTGTATTTCATTCATTCATTTATCCATAATTCCCACTACGAGATAAATTTTAGTCGAAAAAAACAAGAATATTAAAAAAAATGATTGTACAAACACATTATAAATATTTTGTTAATTAAATTCGACGATGATTTTTTGATAAAAAATTAAGAAAAGAAAAATAGAATAAAAAAAATAGAAACATCATAATGTTTTAACAATGAACAATTTGTCACAATTTGTCACAATTTAAGTGAATTTATTGTATGGTGATACGATTACTTGTACTGCAAGTTTGGTTACCATCAGAATCTGGATCTCGATCCATATCAGTATGAGTAACACTCGGTAATGGAACAATTTCAGGTTCGAGCGGTTTTACAGAACAATCTACATCTTCAACGATTACTTCTTCTGCTAAACTGCTTCTAACAGCTTCTATATTTATAAAAAAATATTTAGAATAAATTAATTTTTATATTTTTTAAATAATTTGCATATATATTTACCATTAAACGCTTGAGGATATTGTTGGCTTAGTTTATTTTTTACAATACGAATTCTTTTGAAAATATAATCTAAATCTCTTTTCATTTCCACCAAAAGTGCTGTGTGTTTTTTAAATTCATTGCCAGCAGTTTTCAATCTATTAATTGACAATTGATTGCAATTAGTTAACATTTCATTGGTCTTTTCAAATCTTTGCAACCTACAAAGTAAAAGGTTCATTCATGATGCAATAGGAAATTTATGAATGAAATATTTGAAAAAATAAATAAAAAATTATTCTTACATTTGTTTTTGAGCTCTTATCATAGATTCTACATCTTGTTGATCAACAATTCCAGCCAAACCTTGTATAAATACCTCTGGTGCTGTATAGTTTTGAAAACATTCAAAACTTCCAGTATCTGACTCTGGTGTGCCTTGAGCTGTTGTCATTTTTTTTTTTTTAATCTTACATCAACTAATTACGATATTCATCCAAATACAGTTTTAATGATAACATATCTTTCTATCACTTTACTTTTCTATCATATTATCATATATGTATATATATATATTATTTTCTATCATATATCACACATTTATTCACATTGTTTTTTTACAAAAATTTATGACATCTATTTCAATTTTATAACTCTTTATTACATTCACAATATTAATTGTAATGAAATAATTTTAACTTTAATTGTAAGAAAACAACTAATAGTTGTCAATTAATAATAAATTTATAAATGATTAGATAACGCAATAACGTTATAGTTAATTTATAAATTGTGTTTTAAAAAGTACACATTTCATTCTTTCATTCTTCTTATAAATTAATTCAACCTCAATATGATATATTAAATTTAATACTATTAAAAATGTTCACGCTCGTCGATGATTGACAATAACTTTATCATTTTGTCTATATATAATTTACAATCATTGTTTCAATATTTAATTAAAGAAAATAATGTTTTAACAAATATATTTAACACATTTTTTTAATATAATTTTATATAATCGAATTTTTTATTAAACTAAACATCTTAAACAAACTAAACGCTTCACCTTCAACAGCTGTTTGAAGTCAAATGTTTTCAAGACGGTTGGTAAAGGATCCAGCATTCAAATTTCCACAGTGACTGTTGTATCTCAAACCGAAGCTTCGGAAATTTTGTGCGAAAAATAATAATTCTAAGAATCACGTGTGTCTTTCGATTCGGAATGGCACAAAATATAAATCCATTCTATTCATCTCAAAATGCTCCAAGTAAAGCTGCAGAAGAAAAACAGAATATACCAAAAGATAACCATGCAGTTAGTAAACGGTACGCCAACTTTATCAAACATTTAATATATACATTATCGATTGATCTTTTTACATGTATATTTATTTACTTCTACTTTACTATTTATTATTATTTTATATTTTTTATTTTTTCCTTTCAAATTTCATATAATGAATGTATTGTATTATAACAACTATACTAAAATACATAACCTACTCACAATGTTTGGATAAATAATATAATAATAATGCATTCTTAAATTGTGTGCAAATATCCATGATTGTAATCATATTCTATAGTAGATTTACTTATAATTTATTTTTTTTTGTGATATTAGTAAAAATAAATATATGTTGTATAATAGATTGCAAAAGGAGCTAATGGTTTTAATGATGAGTACAGAGAAAGGTGTTTCTGCCTTTCCAGATGGAGAAAATTTATTCAAATGGATAGGAACTATTATAGGACCACAGGATACAGTAATACTTTTATTATCATAATTAAAATATTGATAAACATAAAAAATAATATTTATTTTAACATTTATTTTGTTTATTAATACAGGTTTATGCTGGTCTTACATATAAATTAACTTTAGAATTTCCACATAGTTACCCATATAGTGCTCCAATTGTACGTTTTGCTACTCCTTGTTTTCATCCAAATGTGGATGCTGTAGGTAATATTTGTTTGGACATATTAAAAGATAAATGGAGTGCTTTATATGATGTGCGTACCATATTATTATCTATACAATCTCTTCTTAGTGGTGAGTAATATTATATTTAATGTTGTAGAATATACTGATAAGAATAGAAAAATATAAATATTATTTTTTTTTAGAACCTAACAATGAGAGTCCCCTCAATCCACAAGCAGCAAAACTATGGAGTGATCAAACTAAATATAAAAAACATTTAACAGAAGAATATCATAGAGCTTTAAATGGTGACCAGCAAGATTCATGATAAGTGCATTTTTATAATGATCTTGTTCATTATTTTTATTTCTATGAATGTTACAATTAAGAATAGGATATAGAAAAACAAACTGCACTGAATTTATGTACTTTGTTATTGAAAATTTAATCTTCTATTATCTTTTGCACTTGTATGCTGTGTCATGCAAAACAACATACAAATATCTTTTATATTGTTCATCACAATCATGTCTGTTACATAATTTCGTCAGTCTGTCTTAAAGATGTATAGAAATTTGTATCATGCTTTTAAGACTGTATATGCAGATTAAACATTTTTATATCGTCAACTTCTATCAAAAACTTTTATTTATTTTTATTCTTAATAATATATATAATATATATATATATATATTGATTTTGGATATATTTTAATATTTTCCATCCATACAAGTTACAGTGACCATCGACGTTACGTCATTGATTATTGTATATTTAAAAAATAAATATTTTAAACACTACTGTTATAAAATTTATTATATTTTCATATATACCTTGTTTAATTTGTTGAATATTGAAATATTTTTTGTAGATTTAAAATTTCATTTAATCTATTGACACGTTTATTTCGATATAATAGATATTTTTCCGATAAACGACTTTATAAATACGATATAACAAAAAAATTTAAATTGGAAAAGTCTTTATAGAAATTAAATTTCAATATATATTTGAAAAAATAACAAATTAATTCTACTTAATTATGTTTTGAAATAGAATGTTTATAAAAAAATATTTATGAAAATTACAATATGAAAATTTTTTCATATTATAAATGAATATCTATAAAATAAATAAATAATAATAAAATTTTGTTCAAATATCATAAAATTTTAATAAATATTATCGATTTAAAATTTATAAAAAAATTTTGTAATATTATACTGAATTAATTGAAAATATTTAAAGAAAATTAAATTTTTCGCAATATATAATAAGATGTCATCAGATTTATATTCAAAATATTATCAGTTTCTTTTCAAAAAATAGAATGCAAAAATAGCGATAAGATAGAATGATGTCATCATCTTCTTTTATTTTATGATATTAAAATGATGACATTAATAATAAATATTTCGTATTTCATATTGCCTATCAATTCTTTAAACATAAAGAGTAACATTTTGAATATATAAATTAGAAATAAGTGTGTATATATATATATATATAAATTAGAAATAAGTTGTTAGTAAAAGTTGTCATTGATTATTGTATTAAAGTTGTCAGCCATGTTACTAAAATTATACGGAAATTTTGTGAATAATTTTCAACGAACATATATTGTTAATTTTTTCTCATGGAATACACGCCTCTTTTCGACAATGAAAGATTATATTTCACAGGTGATATCATATATTATAATTGTAAAGATAATAATATTTAATTTATATATTTTATATATATTTATATATTATATATTTTTTTTAGGAGAAAAAAATTAATATTAATGGAGTAAATATCAATTACCTGAAAATTGGAACTGGCCATCCAGTTTTGCTTTTACCTGGTGTCGCAGGTAAGCAAGTTAATAAAGAAATGATCACGTTTGATGTAACATTACAATCACAATTGTGTTATATATATGTATATACGTAAATTGGGGAAAGTGCTGCTATCTAGGAAAGTTGATTATTGAAAATATAACTGTATAATCGTATAGTGATACACAATTAATTTTAATATTCGAATGAAATAATATCTTTATTATGTATATATATTTATAATAATTTATGATAGATATTGAGTATAATAATATTAACAAATTTTTATTCTATCATAAAAATTTTTAAGCTGTCTAATATAAAAGATATATTTTTATTTAAAAAATGTTAAATTATTGTAATATAACAATATCATCATATCAATAGGTACGATTTGGACAGATTTTAAACCACAAATAGAGGGACTTGATAAAGAAAAATTCACTATAATAGCATGGGATCCTCCAGGTTATGGAAAGTCAAGACCACCCGACAGGACATATCCGGATGATTTTTTTCAACGTGATGCCACTTGGGCATGTGATTTAATGAAAGCTTTAGGTTACACAAAATTTTCATTGATAGGATGGAGTGACGGTGGTATTACTTCTTTAATGCTTGCTTCAATGTTTCCCGATAATGTACAAAAAATAGTTGCTCTTGGTGCAAACGCTTATGTAACACCAGAAGAAAAAGAAATTTATAAAAGTTTGTTCTTTTATTTTGATTTCAATAATTTTTGATTATTTAGTTATTTATTTATTTGTATATTAATAGAATACGAAATTATCGATAATTGGTCTGAAAAAATGAAACAACCGCTAATAAAAATTTATGGAAAAGAATATTTACAAAAGATGTCATTTGATTGGGTAGAGTCTATTTTAAGAATTTGTGAGAAACAAAACGATGATTTGTGCAAAGAATCGCTAAAGAAGATTAAATGTCCTAGTTTAATCGTTCAAGGAAACAAAGATCCGATGGTACTCATTGAACATGCAAGTTACTTGAAAGATCACATTGTTGGATCGAAGTGAGTATAATATAATCGATTTTACAATCAAACATTAATCAATATTAAATAAAAAATTCTTTTAGGATAAAGATTTTCGAAAAAGGTGCACATAATTTACATTTACGATATTCAGAAGAATTCAATAATATCGTTACCAAATTTTTAATTGAATAATTGAAAATATATAATAAATCTCTTTCTACAATATATCTCTTTCTACAATATTATATACATAAATATGTTATATTTTTATATTATATTATATAAATAATTATATACATATATATATATTTTGTGATTTTTAGAAATAATAGTAGAAGAATTTTTAAGAAGTATTTTTTTTTTAACATTTATCCTTATGATCAATCATAGATATTAGAAAAAACTTTTTTTTTTTTAAATCTTTGAACACTATTTATCTTACACTATGCTGACATAGCATAGAGGACACACGTGGGATAACCGGCACAGAAATCAAGTCAGAGAAAGGAACTATAAAATCACGTGGGCGATGAAGGTTTTCCATAGGCTTACCTCTTTCGGCAAAAGACGCTTCCAAATAACGTTTCCGTCTTTTGAATTGAAAATCAATCTTTCGAATTCGTAGTTTTTAATATATATATTATATTGTAACTAACGATTGAATTATTAAATAAAGTAAGAATCACAATATAATTAATATGAGGAGAAAAATAAAATTCGCATTCTAAAAAGCATCTAGACGATTAAAATGCACATTAATACAATTCACTACTAACGTCAAGAACCGCCCATCCGAAATACCTGCAATGCGCTTTGGAGGAAAATCGATCGTGTTCCTGGTCTCGGCTACGCCCCAAAGAACCATTTGCCAGGAATTTACCAATGAGACATGCTTTATCTTTTACTAGTAGAATTTTATTATATTATTATATATTATATATAATTTTATATATTATTTTATTTAAGATTTTATTTTTCTTCAGATTTTATTTTCTGCTTCAATAACAAAAAATATGTTTCAATAACAACAAGTAAATAAAAATAAAAAACTTTGAATCAAATGAATCTTTAAGATTCACATCGAGACATTATCTGGATGCAGATAGAAAGTGGTCTTGTGCCACTTATTGTGCTTGTCGAGAATACTCGCACAAATATTCATGGAATACTTCTACTCTGATCTCTACAGATTTTTACCATTAATTTTAACTAATTAAAATTGTATAACATGTAAGTTAAACTTAATCTATGATCAAATGAACAATTTTTAAAAAGAGTTTTGATTATCAAATAGATAAACACCAATATATTTTTAATAAATTTCTATTTTTTTTTTTCAGACGTACAAAATTATATTAAAAAATTATATTACGTAAGTTCAATCAATTACAAACAACGAAAGGAAATGGATAGAAAACGTGACATATAAAATGCAGTAGACGTATCCAAACATGGACATACCGCTTCGTGATTCGATCGTGTGAACCTCTCCTTATTTTTTACCTTCTTTTATCGCGTTTTTCGCAATAAATATTTTACAAGTCATATTACTAACATCTTCTAAATAATTTTGGGAAGAACAGGATAAATTTTAATACCATTTAAAATAATATTTTCGAGTAAAATTCTGCCTAAGATGAAAATATTTTTAAAAAAAACGATGAAGCGAATCATATTTTATTGAATTTTATTGAGAATATTATTAGATAATGTTACTCTATAAACAAAACCAAATACAAGCGAAAACCGAATATATAAATGTCTTTCCCGTTTTGGAAATGCGACATCGTGTTACGATGATATCACCGTAAAGTGTTACTCAATAACCAGACTGGTCGCAGAATTGGATATTCTCAGTTTTCTAATTGATAATTGTACTTTATTAAAACAATTTCTACTTCTAATCTCTTGTAAAGTTTACGATAACGATAAGTTTAATATCTGTGAATTTTATCCAGTCTATGATCAAAATCCTGATACTAAACAATCTTTAAACAATAAAAAATAAAGCGAAAAAAATGTGAAAAATGAGAAGTAGAAAAATAAGATAAGGATAAAAATTGAAATACGGAAAGAAAACAGGATTCATACGAGAAAAGGAATAGGAGGGGAGATCGAGAAGAACAACTGGGTGACTCACAATCAGATTTCGAAGCTACCGTTATCGAGTTGGTTCCCTTGATCCACGACTTCGCCGCGATGTATCCGTACTCTGTCCAAAGTAGAAAACGACACCATTTACGGCAACTTGCGGCTCCGTTGTTACTCGTTTTCAGACTCGTATCACAAGATCATTCGAGAAAGTAGTCGTATGTCAAAATCTTGTCCTCGATATACAACTCGGCCACCCCTACTGGTATTCGCATGAAAATCTTTGTGCGATGAGATATTTCGAATATTTTTGCAATAAATAATCTATAAAATATAGGTTATAAAATATTTTCGAATCTTAATAAAGAAAAATATTACTTTCAAGAGTGATAGTTCTATGTAATTGAGATACGTCGACACGAATATACGGCTGCGGAAATATTTAGACGTGTTTGTCGTGCACGATGTCCTCGGGATCAATAAAAGTTGAGGCGGGGCAAGGTTTCGTACGTCTGTCGCGTCGTTCCGACTCGGTTCTTCCAAATTATCCTCATTTCGCCGTTGTTCATATCGTCGATAGTATTAGTCTACCTTCGGATGCATAAATGTAATAATTAATATTTTTCTTATCTTATTTGTTTGTATGTTCAAATAGATCCATGGAAATAATTCTTATTTCAAATTTCTTCAATTCATTGTTATGATTTACTATTAAAAGCTACAAGATACGAGAAATATAATATAATCTTTTACAGAATATCTTAAGATTATAAAAAATATGAAAATAACGAAATATATAGAAAAATTTTATACAAAGAAAAGAAAGCACGTTCGGGAAGCTCAATAATATCGTGACTCATAACTACCCCTTCTCACATGTATATAAAGTATCGTATCTACCTTCGAATGCATAAATGTACAATTAATATTTTTTTTATCTTATCTTATTTGTTTGTATGCTCAAATAGATAAATCGATGAAAATAAATCTTATTTCAAATTTCTTCAATTCATTGTTATGATTTATTATTAAAAGCTATAATATATGAGAAGCATAATATTTACAGAATTTTTAAGATTATATAATTTTTCAATAAAAATTATTAATTATTATTCAATTATATAATATTACTATTAATAAAAGATAATTGTTGTAAAGATATATTGATGATTTTTTAAATATTTTCTTTATCGATTTATAATATATATTTGATAGCAATGAAAGCGAAATTCAATTAATATTCGTGACTCAATCTTATCATATACGACATTTCGGTATTAAATGCGTTTTTCAATTTATTTTCTAATTCTTTAAATTGAAAAAATGATTATCTCAGAAAAACGAGACGAATTAAAAAATATCCAACGGATGTCTGAAATCAAAAGCATAAATCGGCTTATAATAAGCTTATAATAGTAAACCACGATTAAGTAATCGTTCAAATTGGACATTAATTATTCTATTATTTTTGATCACGATAGATAGGAACGATGCGGAAGTCTCTTTTTCGTCGACACTGGTACGTGAACTTCTTGGTTCGTCTAAATTGGACGTGATGTCAGCGAGCGTTTCTACTCGTAATTGTACGACTAACGAAGGACAATCAAGAGTGGAGCATTGTCGCATCGGTCTTATTCTTTCGAATCGACCTCGTGACACGTAATCAGTTTTTATTCACACAATTGATACACAACTCCTTTTTGCAAACAAAGTTTTCCTTCTTCATTTTATTTTCTTTCATTTCATTTCACGTTGAAGCGTATCAAGCGTATTTATAATATACATTACTATGCATGTTACATAGGATATTGGGATATGCATATTACATTAATAATTAGGTATACTATATTTTTGTTTCTTTTAATATCTAAAGAAAAAACAAATAAAAGATAATCGATTCTTAAGAATGCATTTTTTGCATAGATTATAAAATTCATTAAAAAAAAGTGCCAATGCTTAAAACTATTATAGTATAAGATTTATATATTATACTATTATACTATTATAGTATAAGATTTACTACACACACATATACATACATACATACATACATACATACATACATACATACATACATACATACATACATACA